AAATTTTTTTTTTTTTTTTTTTTTGCAAGTTTAAAGATATTATTAAAATATTTGACTCGAAGTATTTTCAGTGAAAGATATTTTTAAAAATTTATTAAATATAAAAAGTATTATTAATTTTAATAAATGTTGAATACCTAACATTAATACTTTATGCATTATTTTAATATATAATCTTGAGTGGAAATAAAAGAATAATATAAATGTTTTTTAAGGAGCCCAAAAAACATAGAAAATTACAAAAAAGGGGCTGACATGGAGCCATTATGTTTGTCGTGTTCAATAGGGGCATATTTGGAAATTAAATAAATACCCTTTGATTTTTTTATTATTTATTTTGCATTATTTTATTAACAAACCAATTATGGAGAAGATGCCACAACCAAACACTATTATTGGTTATCCCATTTGAAGGGTTTTTGTCACTCTTTTTAGTCAAGGGTATTTTAGTCATTTTCAATTACTCTTTTTATTTCGAAAAAGTAGGAGCTCCTTATATCCTTGAATATATAGCCATCTTTCGATTAACTTAACCTTCTTCGTCCCTCGAAACCAACAAAGGGTAGTATAGGAATATTCACCTGTTGTCCATCGATTATGCCTTTCAATCTGATCTTAAGCGCTGATTCACTCTTAGTGGATGAACCCTACGTCGACTATTACGAAGGTAACAGTTAGAGATGCTCATTTAACCCATGAAGAATGGGGGAGCGTTCTCCTCCGTTAGCTAAACGAGGCAGAAGACAGAGATTACATACTGTCCCGTCTATGACCTTAGTCCTGCCCTAATTGTCGTTTTGCTCTGATTCCTATAAAAATAAATGGAAAATTTCAAGTTGGGTCTAACTTAGATTGGAAATTACAATAATTTTAGCTAATATACTATTCGAGCTAATTGAATGATTGAACGCGTTTAAAACTAATTTACGATTTTTTAATTAAATTTTTAATAAGTATGTTTTTTTAATTATTTATTGGGGGAATAAAATTTGAAATGGAAGGACTTAGAAATGCAAAGCTTGAGTGACTCCAATTCTTTGTCATCTATAAGACCAACACCAATTATTAGGCTCACTTTGCACGAGAATATGTCATTTTTTACCGTTAAAAACTCTTTCCAAATTATACGTTTGAGTCTCTAATTTTTAGATTCTCGAGCCAGATTGGATCGGTCCAATTGAACCGGTCACTTTTAACCTAAGATGATCGTGCATGTGTTCTACCTCTTACCCTTTTCTTGTTTGTATCCAGAACCTCATAGAATCTTCTAATTACTTGTCAAGTTTGATATTTTTCTATTTATTAGGTTTTCTCATTTATTATTCGATTTGAATTTTCGGTATGGTTCGAGCACTCACTTTCATAAAAGCAATGAAGGAGAAGAGTCACGAAATAGAATTTCATGTTTTGTATCTATCCATGATACAAAAACCTTCAAAATCATACACCATTGCATAATTGTTTAAACTCATTAAAGCACTAAAATAGTTGAATAGTGTTGTGAGATCTCACATCAGTGGGAGAGGAGAACGAACCATTCCTTGTAAAAATACAGAAACCTCTCCTTAGTAGACACGTTTTAAAACTATGAGGCTAACGATGATATGTAACGGGTAAAAGTGGACAATATCTACGCGGTGACCTCGAGCTGTTACAAATAGTATCAAAGCTAGCCACTAGACGGAGTAAGGTTAGACTCTCAATAGTAGACGCATTTTAAAATCGTAAGGCTGATAACGATACTTAATAAGTCAAAGTAGACAACTAGCAGCAGGTTTGAGCGGTTAGAAATGGTACTAGAATCGGACAAAGTGCCAACAAAGACACTAGCACCTAAGACAATAGATTGTTAGATCCCACGTCCAATCACAGTGCCAACAAAGATGCTAACACCTAAGAGAATGAAGGGTTAGATCCCACCTCCAATCACATAACTAAAATTTGATGTCTTACCAAACACAAACATATGAAAAAAAAAAACCAAAATTTCTACTTTTGGATCACAGAAATCCTTAAAAAACCACCAAAAATGTTTTTCCAACATTTTTTCTATGAACAAAATGGAAAAACAGCCAACAAATCAGTGGATTGCGAAACTTATCCACAAACAGGAGAGAGAGAGGAGATGATTCCATGGATAGATGTCTCCAATTTACAAACTTCCGCACACAGAAAATTTTGGGTCTTACAAAAAGAGAGAATTCTCATCAATTGAAGACTGAATTCTCAGCCAGAGCCATCCATGGCTTCTCTCTCCACCTTCTTCTCCTTCCTCTTACCCTCAAAACCACCTCCCCCGAAACCCCAACAGCCCTTCATTGCCTCTCCTTCTCCGGCGACTCAGTCCGCCGCTCAGTTCCAAACCCTAAAATCCAGAGATGAATCAGTTTCCCTAAAGCCCCTACAGGGTTCGAATCATTCCGAGCCCTTATCGGCGGAATTGGCCTCTGTTATCTGTCCTTCGCTGGCCTTTGCCAATACTATGTTCTTCAATTCGGCATATAATGTTCAGGTGATTGTGGATGATAATGAGCCGGAGGAGCGGCTTCTGGGTAGATTCCGGCGAGAGGTTATGAGGGCTGGTGTGATTCAGGAGTGTAAGAGACGGAGATACTTTGAGAATACTCAGGATACAAGGAAGCGTAAGACTCGAGAGGCTGCTAAACGCAACCGCCGGAGGTTTGTTCTTGGAATTTCTTGTGGATTCTTTTGGGATTTTTCTGATTCTTGGTTCTTTGATTCTGAAACTCTCTATGATTGTTTGTTTGTTTGTTTATTTGTTGGGATTTGTGTTCTGTTTGAGTGTTGAATTTGATTGCTAGGAAGGTAATAGAGGCCTTATCCAGAATTGTCTTGTGAATATGAAAGGTTTGTATGTAGAGGTTTACTCTTGACTGGCCTAATGTACTTCTGAGGTTAAACTATAACAAGGGACGAGTTCAAGCTATGGTAGCCAGCTACGTAATGTTAGCGAGTAGTTATCTTGACAACCAAATGTAGTAGGGTCAATAGTTGTCTAGTAAAAATAGCCGAGGTACACACAAGCTGGTGCAAACACTCGTCCACTTATAGAAAGAAAAGGCTAAACTATAATAACGTAGAACAAAAGAGAAAATAGGCGCACTTCCTTGATATCTTTTACCTATACTCTTTTGAGCATCTTAGGATAAGGAGCTAGAATTAAGAGAAAGTAACGGGAAAAATCGAAACTAAGTCTTGAGAGAAATCCTCTCGAGGTTTTAATACGCGTCTACTGGGGAGAGGTTTCCACACCCTTGTAAGGAATGTTTTGTTCCCCTTTCCAACCAATGTAGGATCTCATAATCCACCCTTGTGGAGATTAACCATCCTCGTTGGTACACCGCCAGGTGTCTGGCTCTTATACCATTTGTAATAGCCCAAGGCCACCATTAGCAGATATTGTTCGCTTTGGCCCGTTACGTATCGTCGTCAGCCTCACGGTTTTAAAACGTGCCTGTTAGGGAGAAATTTCCACACCCTTATAAGGAATGCTTTGTTTCCCTCTCACACAATAGTAAAGGATCACGGATAGGATTAGGAAGGAAATGGGACGATTTTGAAAAGAACATTTATCTAGTGCTATTTTAGCTTGAGAGGAACAATAGGATTTTTTGGGATCGGAGAGATCTGAGGATGAACTTCGGAAGTTGGTTAGTTTTAACTCTTCGTTACGAACGTTTGTTAATCGAGCATTTGGCCATTCTTGTAGCTAGTGTGGGTCTCCTTTTGGTGGACTCGTTTTCTGTATGCTCTCGTACATTCCTTCATATTCCTCTTCAAAAGCTCGGGTTTTCTTTTTTTCTTTTTTGCGAAGGAGATCTAAGATGGAAATTCTGGGCTAAGTTGTTTAATGATTTGGGTTGAACAGGCGCCCATTCACAAGAATTACACCAGAGAACAAGCAGGATGTGCCTGCAACCAAGCAGGAAGCTGATGATGACAACTGGGATTTACCTGAAGAAGGCATTCCAAATTAACCTAATCCAGAAGTTCAGTCCACCAAAATGTCATCTTTAGATTTTGGGAAGCTGTCAGTACTCTGTAATGTAAGTTATTTTCCATGTTAGATCTTCTTTGGTTGAGGAGTTTTTGCAATGTTCCTTATGAACAAGTAGAAATGGCCATTCCTTGTACGTATGAATTCTGATAGAGATGGTTAAATTATAAGTCTAGTCCACGAGCTTTTAGTTTGGTGTATTTTATAATTTGTTTAATAAAGTTTCGAACTTTTAATTTTGTGTTTAATGTGTTCTTGGACTTTAAAATGTGTCTAATAAATCCTTAAACTTTCAATTTTTGTATCCAACGGGTTATTGAATTTTTTATTTAGTGCCTAATAAGTTAGGGACATGTTGACCTTATAATTTAAGTTAAAAATGTATCAGCCCAAGTCCGCTGTTTGTAGATATTGTCCACTTTGGTCCATTACGTATCGTCGTCGGCCTAAAATATGTCTTTTAAGGAGAGGTTTCCACACTCTTATAAAGTTTTCCTCACCAACTAATGTGAGACCTCCCCCTCCCCCTCTCCCTCCCAATGTCCTCGCCGACACACTGTCCAGTGTCTAGCTATGATATCATTTATAATATTCTAAGTCCACCGCTAACAGATATTATCTGTTTTGACATGGTATTTGTCGCTGTTAGTCCTAGTTTTTAAAATGCATCTTTTAGGAAGAGGTATTCACACCTTTAATAAGTTCCTTTCTCCAATCAACGTGGGATCTCACAAAAAAAACATATGAATTAAGAATTAAACTATTTGGCAAAGTCAGCAGTAAGAAATCTTTCAGACTTATAATTTAGGAAGAACACGTAATCCACAGGCTAAATTTGACTCACCATTTGAAGGCAATGCAGTATAGATGATTCTGGTTTTCAAAGAATTTTCCTCAATTTTTATGATTCAGAACCACGAACTGCAGTTGTATTGTTTCGAGCACTTCATAGTCTCATCCTAAGAGCTCACTTGGAGGAGGAAGATAGCCTGCAAGGAGCATTCTAGTTATATCTTCAGCCAAATGGAAATTCTTTGAAGTCATGGCCCTATAATTATCAAATGTTTACGTTTAAGAAAGAACATCAAATTAGATACCCCTTTCCAGAGGATGGCAAGAGTCATTCTACACGAGAGGAACATCGAAAAGACGAAAAATCTCGATTCTCTCGAGAATTTCGTCGTTGCTCTTTGTTCAATCACAAAATCGTATATTCTGATACAACTCCGACTCTGGGATATGCTTGAAAATTCTACCTAATATGATGACTTGATGCAACTCTCACAGTTGGTTTCTTTTTCTTCTTCAACACTTTCTTTTTCTTCTGGGGCACTCCCTGTCCCCTCTTGAAAATGGCCAAAACCTCAATACTGCAACCATAACCAAGTTTATGTCATAAAGAAGCTCTTATCAAGTATTGGAGAAAAAGAGTGTACTTAAATGATATCAATGTTTTGTGCCATTTAAGTTGGACGAGAAAGATGCTTCAAATCGAGCCCCAACGTAGATGAGTAATATAATTGATGTTAAGATCTAGAAGAATAGTAAATGATAACGATGGCCTGAAAATAGGGATACTCCTTGTTGTCGATAAATTTTAGAAAGATACGGACATTGTATCTTTTCTTGAACGAAACTTATTATATTCAATTTATAATGTTCGATCAAAATTAACTTCAAACTAGTGATAAGGTATGAGTTTAAGATTTACTGAAAGTATAGGGACTACAATGGGATGTGACTCAAACTACTAGGATAAATACCTGCAAGAATCTAACAGAAAGAAAATAAGATCATTACCTCTGGGTGCCAGGAAAGAAATTAAAACCATGGGCCTTCGCCAAATGCCACGCATTGCTAGACAGTAACATCTTGCAATCCTATACAGAGAAAAACATAGCTAAAGTCTACATAATGCACACACATTGTAAAAAGTACATGCAAATTTCCCTTTGAGATCATGGAAGGAGAGCAGGAATACATTCGAGTTTGATGGAATTTTGAGGCATCTTTACGAAAAAACTTACCTCCTTGAAGCTTTCCCATCCACAACTTATATAAATAAGAGTCTGAGGCAGTGAATGATTTGGTTCCAAAGCTGTACTCCCAATTTGGACTGTTTCTTCCTTTGCTCGTAAAACCCATGGCCTTTTTTCATCTTTCTTATCCGTCAAATGTGGGCTGGAGAATTTGGAATTCAAATGACAATGAACTAAAATGTTAGGAGAGGAAAATTTAAAAGCCTTAGAGATCATCCAAAACAACCTTTTAGATAATGACTTCACTTTACGCTTTAGTGATGCTATATCTCTCAATGTATCAGCAAGTGATGCATCCAAACCTTTTCTTGGCGGATCGACAACAACTACGTCTGATCCCACAATCCAAGTAAGAGGATCCTGTGCAATTAGTAGATACAGCAGAAAATATAGCTATGATACTGGTGTAAGTCTCATATGCAGTAAATGAAATCAGTAAAATAATTCAAATGATGGGTAATTAAAAACTGAAGGGCTGGAGTACTAACTTTTGAAGTGTCTGCATGGTGCCAGCTGATACTGCCATCAACTCGGTCCGGTAGACGTTCGACTGTTTTCTCAAATGATAGCTTAGACTCTTTGTTGACCTCGACACACTTCACAAATCTGAAAGCAAAAGTAACATTGGGTTATCAATTTCCATATGTTTAAATGTAGTGAAACTTTGAACCCCACGGCATGCATAATTGTCCTAGTCTTGCCTGCATTTCCTTGTGGCAGCTAATGATAATCCAATCACACCAGCTCCTGCATACAAATCAGCAACTGATGCTCCATATGGAACATACTTCTGCAACTTCCGGAGCAAGCTATCAAAAGCCTGGAAGAAAAGAGTATAGGTTGGATGATCCAATGGGATTATATCAGGATGTGATGCCAATAGAAAAGTTTAATGGGCATGAAACACCAATTACGAGGTTTGGCAAATTTGGAGACTGGATCGATTTGCTGGAACGAGATTAAGAATTTTAATCCTGCTTTAAGATATAGACTTCGAAGATTGGAAAGTTTTGGCAGTTTCTCCAGCAAAAGTATGAGATTCCCAACCCAAAGATCTCGGTAAAATCATTTTTTAGTTCTAAAAAAATTTCAAAGGATTAGCAAGTCTTCATAATAGGGTTATTCATCAGGAAAACACTGATGGATTTCAGAAAATATACTCCAGTGTCTACCTCAGCCACCATTTATGTGCAAAATGAAAATGATGCAGAAGGCTGGGCGATTGCCTTTCTTTACTTTTTTCTCTTTCCCAATTTGAAGTATGCTCTCCATAATTTTAATCTTTTTAATGTAATCTGGCTGGTTTCTTCCTTCAGCTGGCTCTTTGCCATCCTTTGAAGAACAAAACCAAATCTATTTGAACCAATGCCACCCTTGCCTCTCTTTTGGGAGCTTTTAGAGGAGAGGAACCATGAAATGTTTTAGCATGGAAGTAAAGATAGAGTCTGGGACACCATTTCTTTTAACTTCTACCCAGCCTAAACTAAACGTTTCTACTTATTAGAAATAGCAACTATTTATTCTTTTAAATTATTATTATTTATTCACCCTAGTTCTCTTAGAAAAAAGGTTAGATGGACAATCTGCAACTAGGCATTAAGAGTCAGGAATACATTATAACGACTCAAGCCTACCGCTAGCAGATATTGTCCTCTTTGGGTTTTCCCTTTTGACTTCCCCTCAAGGTTTTTAAAACGCGTCTATTAGGGAGAGGTTTCCACATCCTTATAAATAATGCTTTGTTCCCCTCTCCAACTGATGCGGGATCTCACAATCCACCCTTCTTCAGGGCCCAGCGTCTTCGCTAGCATTCGTTCCCCTATCCAATCGATGTGGGATCTCACAATACACTTCCTTCGGGGCCCACCGTTCTAGCTAACACTCGTTCCTCTCTCCAATCGTTGTGGGATCTCACATATATGGTATCAAAACAAGTCAGAACCCCAGCCAAAATTGTAAGTAACAAAATACCCCAAGAATAAAAAGATTTCTGAAATTTGAAACATAAATATTTAAGAACCTGTGTATTTGCTTGGCCAAAACTTGATGGTGTCAGGCAAATGTCTATTCCACCAACATGCTCCCAAAAATCTCTTTCGCCTAAAAGATGCCTCCATCTATTACCAAATATTACCTGCATTACAGGTGAAAATGTATCCATTCAACAAACGAAAAATTCGAAAATCATGAATCAAACTTAGCAGTGACGGATAGAAACAAGCAAATATTCATCACTCGAACTCTTACAATGAAGAAACTTACATTGTTAGATGATGTTTGAAAATTTGCCCACACAGAATGAACTAGATGAGTATTACTTCGGGCACCACCATTTTTCCATAAGAACTGTTGTTCAGTACATCAAAGTAAAATGTAAATAGAAATCTTGCCAAAAACGATCTTTTCTTTTTTTCCTTTTGGGGGAGGAGGCAGGGTTCTCAAAACTCACATTGGCTAATGCATTTAGCTTGTCAGAATTCTGTGAAGTTTCACTCCTTGAATTCCAAACTAAAGCTATCTGTATCTTACCTGAAAACAGACATAAATTCAATCAATCCTACCTTTTCTAAGACCTTAAGCAATGGAGTAAACTAATATCCTAATATCAACTTAGTTAGCATGTAACCATTTTTGTATCTTTCTGAGGAAGGAAGGGATGTGCTATAAGTCGTCACAGCCATCTGCATCAAAATCATTGAGTATTATCACTAACATCACCATTAAAGAACGAACAAATTGTCTGCCCAATATTCATTTGAGGTTTATTTTAATGATAACCTGAACATATCGCAGATCACCAGTCCCCTGATCTTCATCATAAGGCTCTACGTTTAATTCAGTGATACCTTCATATAGCCCACAAAGAAGATGCAAATAATTCAGTCATTATAGAACCCCTAATTTTAGAAATAGACGAAATGTTCATCCAGCTCACTTGAACTTCATCAAGAACACACCTCGTTTTAACAATTGAACTGCCGCATTTATATTAGGGTGATGAGCTGCAGGAACATTTTTGTTTAACTTAAACAATCATAATTAATGGAAGACGAAGAATAGAGCATAGCACTAAGACAAGTAGAAATGGAACCTTTGCAATCAGGAATATCCACGACATTATGAGTTCCCTCTTGATAAAGCCCAATCATAGGGTTTGTAGACGAGCCACGAACGGCTAATTTCGCACGGCACCTCCATCCCCACTAAAATCAAATCCATGTACCAAAAATGAAAGCCAGACGATTATTCAATAGGATTAGACGAATTCTATCAACGCGAACAAAATTACGAGGAAAAACAAGTCAACCAGTTTGCAACTATCAAATGTAAAATCCGATACTCCAAGATTGTTGAAGAATTGAGTCGCCTCCTCAACGATGACCGGCCGGTGGAGGTCGAACTCGTGTGTGCATCCGGAGCACCTAAAACATTCAGTAACAAAAAAGAGTTAATCGATATATGAGATTCAGATATTGGAACTGTAATGGAAGGTGGAACATACGATTGAAAGTGAGTGCACTGGAGTGCACACGCCGGCGAGGATAGTGAGTCCGGAGTTGATTTCGCAGAGAAAGACAGCAGAGGTGGCGGCGGCGAAGGAGAAGAATGAGTGCGCACTGAGGTGGTAGAGAGTTGACAAGAAATGAAAGGTGAAATTGAGCGAGGCGTGAAGTAGCACTGAAGCATCGTTCTCTCCGGTGGCCGGTGACGCGCCGGAGCGGTGAAGAGAGGTATGGCGGGAATAGATGGATAACTTTAATTAGTCTGTCGTATAAATATCTCGAAAAACCATTTTTTTAAAAAAAAAAAAACAAATAAAAAAGAAAAAGTTAAGATACTCGGACCCGGTCGGCCTGGATCGGTTGTAAGATGTGCATTGAATCGACAAGTCGGACAGATTACTACGACAAATCGTCGTGAATAAGCATTTTTTTTATTTACATTGTTCCTATTATAAATGTTTTCTCATTAAGGTTAGGAGATAATGTTCTAATTTAACCCCTCAGTTTCTTAGTTTGATTGGATTGGGTCCGGTCGAGTCAACTAGGTTCGTTTTTTTCTTAATTGGATCAGGTCCGGTCGGATCAACTAGGTTGTTAATTTTTTTTATTTTTTTTTTATTTTTTTTTACATATCGCTGACAACTAAATAAGGTTCCAACTTAACCTTCTATTTTTTAGTTTGGTTGGGTTTGGTTGGGTCGGGTCAACTAGGTTGTTCATTTTTGGATTGGTTGATCAGCTAGGAAGTTTTTTTTTTTTTTGTTTTGTACCTATCAACAATTAAATAAAATTCCAACTTAACCTTCTATTTTTTTAATTTCGTTCGGATCAGCTAGGTTGTTCATTTTTTTCTTAATTTTTTTAGTTTGGTTGAGTTGAGTCGGATCGGCTAGGTTGTTCATGCTCATTTGTTTTCTTAATTATTTTAAAAATATTCACGGTATATATCACATTAGTAACTAAAAATCTCATTAAATATAAATACGGTTTATTTAGGTTACCAGATTATTTGAACATCCATGCGTCAAATTGAAAATTGAAAATTGAAAACGGAAGAATAAATTAACAATTATAATATATGTATGTATGTATCCTAATTTAACTGAATTTCGCTCGAGTCGAATCAGAATTAACAATTATAATATATGTATGTATGTATCCTAATTTAACTGAATTTCGCTCGAGTCGAATCAGATTGAACCGACCCGAGTAAACATTAACCTGTGAACTGAACAGATTATTTGAACATCCATGCGTCAAATTGAAAATTGAAAAAGTAAACATTAACCTGTGAACTGAACAGATTATTTGAACATCCATGCGTCAAATTGAAAATTGAAAATTGAAAACGGAAGAATAAATTAACAATTATAATATATGTATGTATGTATCCTAATTTAACTGAATTTCGCTCGAGTCGAATCAGAATTAACAATTATAATATATGTATGTATGTATCCTAATTTAACTGAATTTCGCTCGAGTCGAATCAGATTGAACCGACCCGAGTAAACATTAACCTGTGAACTGAACAGATTATTTGAACATCCATGCGTCAAATTGAAAATTGAAAAAGTAAACATTAACCTGTGAACTGAACAGATTATTTGAACATCCATGCGTCAAATTGAAAATTGAAAATTGAAAACGGAAGAATAAATTAACAATTATAATATATGTATGTATGTATCCTAATTTAACTGAATTTCGCTCGAGTCGAATCAGAATTAACAATTATAATATATGTATGTATGTATCCTAATTTAACTGAATTTCGCTCGAGTCGAATCAGATTGAACCGACCCGAGTAAACATTAACCTGTGAACTGAACAGATTATTTGAACATCCATGCGTCAAATTGAAAATTGAAAAAGTAAACATTAACCTGTGAACTGAACAGATTATTTGAACATCCATGCGTCAAATTGAAAATTGAAAACGGAAGAATAAATTAACAATTATAATATATGTATGTATGTATCCTAATTTAACTGAATTTCGCTCGAGTCGAATCAGATTGAACCGACCGAGTAAACATTAACCTGTGAACTGAACAGAATTCTATGTTCTCCAAAAATCTAACCTAACCCTTTTCCAAACACCCCTAAAACCTATTTTAGGACAACTTAAGTATAATTAAAAAGAGTTCATTTAAATTTTATAGAAAATCCAAACCGGACAACATTATCATTCACAAGTCAGTAAACATCAAAGTAGCTGAACTTTTCATCCAAATTAAACCATTTTATCGACTCGTAAGTAAGATAGAAACATGTCGGGTTGACATCAACAACTCGACGATAATACCACACACCTATTGGGTCTAATGTTCCAAAGTTCATCTATGGTTAAAAAAAAAATGTGATTCAGAATCATTCAGAAAATCTGCACTCCGACAGATATATTCTCCCCTATTCAACCAGCTAGCTGCATAACTAACTAATCATCGGTTCCAAAGTAACGATCGCCAAATTCACCCATACCTGGTACGACACGATACTCTTCGTTCAATCCATCGTCGATCTCGGAAGTGACAATTTTCAAGAACGGGTATCGTTTGCAAACACAGTGAATTCCCTCCGGGGCCTGAACTCCAACGGAGTGAATATATTGACATCAGTATTTGATAGTTACTATGATCAACCAATTTGGATAGCGTAAACGAACTCACAGATATCAAGTTGAGGAATATGATGTGTGATTCTGGAACTCCCTTCTGTATGAGTAGGTCAATTGCTTGGTTAGCTGAGTTACCTGCAAAGATCATGAATACATACGTTTTAATAGGAAAAAGGGTCGGTTGTCTCGTTAGAATAATCGAGGTACAGCCAAGCTGGTCCAAGCACGCACGGACATCACAATAAATAAACAAAACGTACGTCCGAGTTGACAGTAATTCTATGGCCACCTAATTAGGCTAAACAAAACTTGGGAATCTATATACTAATGAAACTTGGATTTAAAGCCATGCTCTAATTATCTACTCTAAAGGTTAACTTAATGTTGTATAACAGATTAATGATGAGTCAAATAGGAATTCAGACTAATAGCAATGACGATGATGAAATAGTTACCGGTAGCGAGAACGGGGTCTAGGAGTAGGACATGTCGCTCCGATATATCATTGGGTAATTTCTCGTATATCAGCTGGTCAGTTTGAACAAAATATAAGAAAAACTCTATGATGTCGATATAAGAAAGCACGAGATCAAGCCCCAACAAACACAATCCAGGAAAAACATTTTAGTTTCACCTGCTTCCCGTTATCTCCCTCACGGTGAATCAGAATCTTCCCGATTTTTATCCCTTTGCAACATGCACGCAACGCATTTTCCATGCTTTCACCACTGTATTAGATTGAGGATAACCATCAGAAATGAGAACTGTCTCATCAATTCTTGGTTGACACATCTCATTTTTCCTCGAGGTCGGTCCAAAATTTTATCACAAACACACATGCAACCAGCAAGTTCATCTCAGACAAATTCTAGTTGCTATGATTCAGACAGCAAGTATGAAATATATTCACGTCAAACTAACCTTCGAACGATGGATACCCCACATAGTTTTTTGCAGAAATCAACCCCAGTGTATACAGATGCTGAGATCAAAAGCATGCAGTCATTCTTCATCAGTATCCATACACCAGGTAAGTGAGATCAGTTTAGATTACAGGAAAAAAAACTCAGCAAGAGAAAAGAGTTTATATTGCACGGACAGATATCAGTAAGCACGAGGCTCGTTACTTCCGTAACTCACCTGTTGGAGTGACCACTTGTTTTTCAGTAAACGGCAAATGGCCAAGGCCATGCTCCACAACCTAAAAGTTAAAAAGAAACAAAATCTATAAGAATGTTGAGATTGTTCAACTTTCCTGGCATAAATGACCTTGCAATTGATATATGTAGCAGAAAGTACCAGACGTATAAGGCGGTCTGAATAGAAAACAAAATCGTGCTTTGAGATGTCCCGATCTCGAATTAATGTATGCATGCCTCTAATCTGTGACATTCAGTTACCTACGTGAGATTATGGAGAGGAGAGAAGTAAGAGCTCAAATGAGAACAGGAACGACTACGTATGCTTTAGCCTCGTGTCTGAAACAAACAACATAAATAGAATACAGATTTTCTGGTAAACCCTTTTTCTTAATGAGAAAACAAGCTTTCAACCAGTAACAAGACGAATGCAACAAGCTCATGTCTCAAGCAATAAAATCATATCTTTGTTAACATATCTTCAACTTTTTTTCTCAAAAATAAGAATCTCGAGTCTAATACTGCACAACTCTATCTGTCTTCACAATCTCTTCCAGTTTCAGGCTGGTGAAGATTGGTTCTGGAAAGTAAAAAAGTGTTGAGAGAAAGTGGAAAACATAACGTATCAATTACGGCGAATTGCTATTTGAAAATGTTATACCTGAAATGTTGATTGAATGACAGTAACATTGGGGTATATTTTGCATAGGTCATGCTGGCCTAACTTCGTATGGATGTGTTGCACAATCAAATCAATTGCAACATGGTTATCGCCTCCACGTGGTATGATCACATCAGCATACTTCTTTGATGGCAGAATGAAATCATCAAAAGCAGGTTTTACAAACTTCGCATACTGCACAAATAACAAGAATGGAAATATTTCACCAAGTATATAATGAAGTCAAAATCAAATGTCAAAGGAATGGCAATCACATGCTGCATACTGAAGTGTTCGTGATCCCGCTATAAAAATCTAAGCATACAACAAGACTTGCTTGCCTCACATAAACAAAAGTTGCTAACTCTTCCACTATTCAACCCCCCCACAGTCACTGCTCTAGATGATAGGAGGCAACCCTGTGATCTTGCATAGGATATGGCGATGTAAATCATTGGAAGCAATATATCGCTCAAGTTGGTGAATTCCTCAACCGATTGGAGATTACATCAATATAGTTATCATAACAGCCAACTAATGAGCTTAGGGAACATTTCAAAATTCCCATAATCAGAAGGAAAGATTATTTTGATCACAGTAAGTTATGGAAAACTTGTGAAAATAATTCAACACACACAGGCTTCAACTTTTTTAAATCGGAGATCTCATTAGGTTGGATCCAAATTCATGAAAGATGTTAGTTTACCTGTTCAAGAACGGAGTTAATGTCTCTGCCTCTTTCTACGGTATCACGTCTAATTCTACGAGCAAGCCTCACATCAGCATCTAAAACCATGCAGGGATAAATATTAGGAGAAGGTAGAGAACCTTTAGTACAAGTAATATGTAGAGTA